CCACAGGACTGCGCTATATTTGACCAGCCAGAGTACACCAATTCTGTAGGCAAACTTATTTGTTTCCCGTGTCAGTCACTGATTGATTGTAATAACAATAAGTATTGGAGAGTGTCACACAACACGGGCCCAATAGCTAATTGATTGCAAAAAGCCGGTCACGAGGGGTATCCCCCCTACCGTAGCATAGCTCACACGCCAAGCCTACCACAACGGAAACTCCCAAAGAACAGAGAAGACCGAGAAGGCAGCGATCGACGACGAAGACGCATTCAAGGGTGGCCATGCTATAGGCTAGGGTGGATTCATGTACCATGCTATAGACTATGCAGCAAGGGAAGCGGACGCACTCTCACGACAACTACAACTGGGACTTCAGCACTGGTGGATTCTGGAGCTTCTGAGACCATGTTCGACAACCGCCTCATCCCGAATGGACGTCTCGAAGAAGAGCGCCCGACGCCCAAGACCATCGACGTTGCAGGAGAAGGCCAACCACAAGGCACTACCACTGGGATCCTAGACTACACTGCACCATAAAAGACGACAGGAAACAGCAACTACCCGTCAAGCTCCAAGGTCTCATCGGGCCAGGACAAGGCCGGAACATCTTCGCACCAACGGCCCTTCTCAAGAAGGGCCTCCGATGTGTCCTGGAAGACAAGACCCCACACCTCACCATCGGCGGAGAAGTCGTCGTTCCTTTGAAACAAGCGACTCAATACCAAGGCATGTGCACCCTCGCCATCACATTCAAGGGCGATCCAGCGTCGACAAGCAAGACACCCCCGAACAAACAAGAACCAGGGCGCAAGCCGAAGTTCGGAAAACCAGAAGCGGTACAGATAGATCACACTCCGCACGCGACATGCTCAGTGGCGATGAGCGTGAGCGCCGAACTCTGGCACAGGCGCCTCGGCCACATCAATCCACGTGCTATGGAGATTTTGCGGCGCAACCCCGCTACAGGTGTGCAGGTGTGAAATATGACGGACCTGTATCCCCGTGCGTCAACTGCCACATCACGAAGCACAAGAAGGCTCCCGTTCCGACGAAGACCAGCCGTGTCCTGACTAAACCAGGCCAACTCGTCCAGTTCGACAACATGGGACCAATCGACCCACCTGCG